CGGCCCGGGATCCCGCCGGGCCGCAGCCCCGGGCCTCGCCTCACCTCAGGATCCGCGGGGATGGAGGCGGGATGTTCCCTTCCCGGCGCCCTGAGGAGGCAAAACCCGTTCCCGTCGGCGCTGGGGGAAGCTGGCGAGGCCGGCGCTGCAGAGAGAGCGCGGTTACCATCTTTGATGTATTAATTAATTGTCAGGCTTTCTACAAACCAGCTATTTAAAAACAACTTAGTTACACGCTCACAGTTGCCTCCATGTCATTTTCCAGTCATGCGGGAAAGAGATGAAGCTAATTCACTGCAAAAGCTTTAAAACGAGCAAGTTATGCAGTTGAAGTGTATTTCTTAGAGCGTTAACTGTTTTATCAGCGGTAACACAAGTATCAGGTTAGTACCCGAGGATGTTAGCAGATTCTTGCAGCCAATGTGGCACACCAGTGATTTTCAAATGCAGAATGTCAGGTTGAAACGGTTTTATGTACAGACCGTGCTCAGAGAGCACCTGGGGATTGACAGGGCAATGACTGTTTGCTCTTCTTTTTATCTTTGAAGGGCTTACACTTCTTCAGTGAAGTGGAGCCTGGTGTGCATGCTGAGTCAAGAGCCAAAAGTGAGGGAGGATAGTCAAAATCATGAATTGTTCTGCAAACCTGTTCAAGAGCATGTAAAATTGTGAAGTCTTTACAAATGTAAGATATTTTCAACATTTCATTTGCAGTCTGAATTATACAGATTTTTTAAATCTTGCATTTTGTAAGATACACTTCAACTTTAGTGTAGTTCTGTAAGCCAGAGTTTCTAATGGCAGTAAAATATGGTTTCTTTTCAGATATTTCATATAGTAATAAGTGAATGTTTGGGTAGGAAGATGCTTTCCTCGTATATGTCCATTTAGGAGTCACACTGAAGAGTAATGAGTTAAAGTGACTGACACAATGACAACCATAAGACAGAGAAAGGTTGGAAAAGGCACAGAAGCAGCTGAAGATCAGCCTTCAGAGGAGAAGAATGTGAAGCCTGATGGGAAAATTCTCTCTGGTGGGTAATGAAAAGGATTGTTACATTGTGACTTTTTGGTAGCTTAGCTTTTGGTACCTGTCCTAAGCAGAGGTTAGAACTAGGTATGTACCAAATACATTTTCTTAGTGGAATATCTGTAACCAAATTAATTGGATGAGACAGAGAGCATGCAGACAACTGTATGTCAATCCTGTCTCTGATTTAAAACCCTAATTTGAGTTGGTGAGAATTAATTTCTTCAGTTTAGTGTCAGTGACACTATCACGTTTCATATAGCAGTCATCAGTTCTTAAATCTCAGGTCAAATCATCGGTAACATAGTTATTTTAAGACCTCTAATGAATTCTACTTAAATATAAGTAGATTGCATGTGAAATATGTATTTAACTGCAAACTCTCATTTTTGGCTAAAAGGCAAATTAGGTATGTAAATTTAAGAGGGGCATAAACTATCTTGATTCAAGGATCTGTTTAAGTGATGAAATACTGAAAATATTTTTATTTGGAATTACAACTTTAGAGTTGGCAGCGTTTGTTTGGTTTGTGGTTTATTTCTTTAAATTAACTTACTTTAAGGGATGTTCTGATCTAAATTCCCAATGTTTCTGTGTATGCAATGTGAGTAGATTAAAATTACATGGTTGTTTCCACACAAGTACACCTAGGCTATATAAAAAGTAGGAAAGTGATCATAGTTCTCATCCAGCTCTCAGTTCACTTGAATTGCATGTTTAGATATGCATTAGGTGGATGTCACACACAATATGAAATAGCCATTTTAAAGACACAGTTCCAGATCAATAAGATCTATATGCTTATATCAGCATTAAAACAAACAAACAAAACCCAGGAATATAAGCATGCAATAAATTGATTGAGCTATCTAGAAACACAACCTTTCTTTCCCACTATAATGTGAGTCTGATGTCAGCAGGAGGTCATCTGCAATTCAGAGCATGACACCATTATCAAAGGCTGCTTTGGCTGCTCTTCAGCCTCTTTGTGGGTATTTAGAGAGACTTCTGAACCTTCAGTGGTGTTTTTATGAAAGCCAAGCAAATGCCCCCAAAAAACAGGCAGCTGTTTTAAGACATGAAGAAAATGTTGATGTCTTACTCTGTGATCTAACAGTCATCCTGTATTGCCTTACTCTAAAAAGTTGGTATGGTATATGGTATTTATCTGGATATGCATAGGACTGTGGTGTTCTTAAACTGTAATTATGTTTTACGAATTAAGGCTCACCATACTTCACTTTGCATTAAAATACTTTTGAATGTACTATATAATCAAAAACCACATTTCCATGAACAGCTCTTCAAACCAAGTGTCCTGATACCTGCAGAATGTGAAGTGTACTAGCACAGACAATGTGTAAATAGTTTGCAAAATTCCTTTAATTTGTAATATGTGTTTCACAATTACAGAGTGAAATATTTTTCTTCCAAGGCCATACAGGTGGAAAGCTGTGGAATATTCTCTCAATAACTGTCGGTGCATTTTTTGCCATTTCTCTTGGACTTCTTACTTCTGTTTATGTTGCTACACTACATGAAAATGACCTGTGGTTTTCCAATATTAAGGTAACAGTAATTTTGATACTTTGATCAGTGCTTTCACAAAGCATTAGTATGAGTGTTAAAATGTCATTTAATTATGTATTTGTTTTATAACTTGCTCAAAAACAGAGTATTTTTTAAATACTTGATCATATATATAAATACTTTTCCCCAATTTTTCTCTAAAAGCATTGCCATGCAGCTCCTGCCCGAGTTGAAACTATGGTTCTAGAGTAGAATTTCAACATTTACTATATGTTGCACTATAATAATCTATCCCAAGCAATCCAAAACCTAGTAAAAAACAGTTAAACAATATGCAAAATCCTGGCACACAGTTCTTTATATCATAAATATTTATACTATTATATTTAAATACAGTTTATGAACAGTCTCTTACTATTCAATGATAATTTTATATAATGTTGTCCTAAATGTGCAAACCTCAAAACATATTTCAGACATTCACCAGTGTAAAACCAACCATTTCCAAGATCCAGGACTGACTAGTTTTTTCCTAGAATCATTGCATGGGGAAAAAGTGCAGCTATACCCAAATCTATATTTAACCAGAGAAAAGAAACAGGTGAGTCATTTTCCTTTTAGATGCCTAAAATTCACTATGTTAGGTGTATGTATGATGTTATTCATATCTTTATGGATACATATCTTTATAAAGGACACATCTTTAATTGGAGTGATTGCATTACAATGTGTCTTTCCTATATGACACACTTTTTCTGTCCCTCACATTCCCATAATAAAAGTAGTCAGCACCTAAAGAAACAATTGTATGTGTAGCTCTCATTTCATCCTACGGATTTGGTGTGATAACTAGTAACATTGGAACATCAGCAATTTCAGCCAATTTGATGGAAAGATTTCAAAAAGCATTCAGATCATCTCCCAGCCACATTAAAGGAGAAAGAGACAGTTATTTTCTGATCTCACATTATATCTTCTTCAGGAATGAGAGGCCACATAGCAAATTAATACTGTAACAGAGACAAAAAAACTTAAGAGCTTTCATTTGTTCTTCATCCAGTAAGCATTGAGACTACCATTACTGGCTTTTCTTTTAATAAAGTTGCTGCTTGCAAAAAGACAGGAGTAAAATTATCAAATTATAAATCTTTCAGACATACAGGGTAAGAATCCTGGGATTCCTTCTCTGCAATGCTTCAATTTTCCCTTTTTACCTTTTGAGTATAAAAGAAAAATGAAAAAAAAAAAAACCAGGGAATCAGGTAGGCAGGTGTTTGGAATGCTTCAAACTGAATGCATAAGAGGAGAGCAGCCTAGTGTTTTGATGGTACTTTCCAAAGGAAGTACCTGTGGAGTTGTTAAGGGTACTTTAACTCAGCATCAAAAGATTGATTGGAGTGGGAGGAGCTGTGCCATCTGACAGATGGGCATGAGGTTAACCAGCCAAGAGACCATGTACAAGAATTAAAGACATTTGTTGAAATCATGATTGTCAACCAGGAACAGACAGCAGCTGTTTCTACTGAGTTTCCACTTGTGTGGTTGACATTATTTTCAAATCTTTCTGTTCTCGGAACAACTAAACAATATTTTCAATTACACAAATTGTGGTTTAGTTTTGTCAAAAAAGTAATTTAACTTTGCTTATGCTCTTCATTTATACAAAAATTCAACTCAGACTTGTTAGGATCCAGTTGCATAGATTGAAATCATATGCAACTCTGTATGTATCCTGGAGGACAGTGTTGTTGGGTTTTTTTCCTTGGAACAGTGATGACTTAATTGTTAAAGGCTCACAAATTGAATATACAGAAAGATAAATATGTGCTTCTATAATGTTTACCCATAAGGTTGTATGTTTTTATTGACATGGAATACTGGGAAAAATACAAATTGCTGTAGAACTGGAAAAGTATTGTGAGTGAATAAAACAGATGTTATCTTAGCATGAAACAGATGTAAAACTCACTAGTGTTTGTCTCATAAAATACAGCATTTGGTTGAATACAGCTGGTGTCAGGGTTACAAATTAATCATGTTTGAATGCATTTTTGCTAATTAGATCCCCCTCTGTGACTACTTTCCCCGCTAATAAATTCCATATGTTAACTTTTTTTCTTTTTGTGTGTGTGTTCTTAAGAGCACTTAGAATCAGCCACTTTTTTAGTATTAGAAAACTTTTCAGTAGTGAATTTGAAAATAAAGCTCACTCAAAATCCAGCATTCTCATTTTGCTGAGTGTGTGGCTTTTACTATTTAGTGCCAACATCAGTTTCTTCTGTTGATATTATAATGATTTGTATGTTGTAGAGCAGCTGGAGAGTTTAATTGTGAACTTATGTCGAATCAGATTAATTTTTATCTGTTTATTTTTCTCAGGCCAGAACTAATATTGTTTTAGTTTGTCTACAGTTGACTTCAGTAAAACACATTTTAAGATTAAGTTTCTATACTGGGCAGTAGAGGAGGAAGGAATTTTTATGTAAGGTTGCATTGATCAGAATGGCATTCATAAAAATCTCAAGAAACAGTAACATTCTGTCATTTCAGTAGTATTTCTTTGTCAAAAAAGCTGAATTGATAAGAGTAATTTTAGAAGTCTCACTTTAATTTCTTAATTACACACATGCACCACTTACAGGAATCTTACTGGATTTTTTAATCTGGATATAGACCTTTACTAACTTAATGCTTGTAAGAGAGATTTGCTGGGATGGTTTTATATAAACTACTAAAAAGATCACTAATAGTAAAACAATTTTGTATAAGATGCCTATTACTTCTCTTTACATTGGTTGTCCATCCAGTCTTCTTTTGTTTAAATAGAGTTACCCAAGGCTCTGAATTTGTTAAATGAGTTAAGAAATGGAGATGAATTCCAAAGCAAAGATCCTGTACTGAGAGAAGTTTTCTCTAGGAGAGCTTTTATACCTCACTAGACTCCATGTGCTGCAACATCAGCCAAGAAAGAAGCATAGTTTGAAGTGTACCTAGTTAAAATAAATCATATATTTTTAAATTAGAAATAATAATATACCTACACATCTAAATAAGTGAAGAATAATTTTTACTTTAATCTATGATTTAAGTATGAGAACAATGAGCAGCTGCCTTCTGCAAGAAACAGCATTTAACAAGTGGACAGCAGCATACCCTGCCAGCTGAAAGACCAGAGCAGCATTGTGGTGCAGTCCCTGAGTTAACGCTGAGTTAACTGAGCCTTAAGTTGGCAAAGCCATGGAACACTATGTGATATCTACATCTGGAAGAAAAGGTTAAATGCATGAAGAAAGCATAGGCAGTTTTAAAGTCCAGCTGTTGGACACTGCATCTATCTGAACACTGACTATTACAAAAAGGTAGCAAATGGAGCAGAATCACAAAAGGCATAGATTTCCCCAGTTAACAAAGACATTAACAGGTCAGCTATTTGCCTCTCACCTAATTTGTCCATGTATTTTACCTTTGAACCAAGTTGCACAGAATTCACAAACCAAAGATTCAAGCCACTGTGTAAGTTGATTTCCCTAATACAGCAAAACTTTGAGTTGAAAGTAGCTTCATATAATTGTGAAAAGCAAATGGAAAGTGAATTTACTCTTGAACTTCCCCTTGCAGGAAGTCGAAAGAGAAATTTCATTCAGAACAGAATGTGGACTTTATTATTCCTACTACAAACAGATGATTCAGGCTGCTTCCATACAGCAAGGTATTGTAAACTGTAAAGTAAGTTTTACTTCCTGTTGCCAGCTGACTGATTTTAATGTTTTTTCAACATAATTGAGAACAAGGAATACCGTAACTGTGGAAGAGTGTAACAGTTGTATTTGAAACAGAGGGATAGCTTTCATATCTGTTAAGGTTTCAGCCTTGCTGGGTTTTTTTGTTATTATTATTTTATCATTGTTTTAATTTGAATTATGAGCTATTTGTGGGAAAGGGCAGGTTTTTTTGCTGTATACTTGGACATCAAGTGACACAAGGAGCCAGCTTCCAAGGAAATCATACATAAATGGGGATTTCTGTGGCAGTGTCATGTTCTCTAGATATGTAACTGTTGCTCCCTAGAAATTTTGCTTATACTACACATTTGTCAATGTTAACATCACTTGTGTTCAAAGTAGTGACAAGAATGGTTCTAAAGATCCAATATGTACCACAGATTCTATGCTAGGAGTGTAAGTGTAAGAATAAAGGTTTTCTACATTAGGAAATGTATAGTACTTGATTTAGCACTTTGAGTCACATTCAAAACAGGGAAACTGAACACCTCAGGTGGTCATGGTGATTCAGAGGTAGTGTGGCCTGAATCCTTGACTCAAAGCTTGCAGTTTTTGATGAGAGATCCTAAAATACCTTTGAAAAAGTTATTCACTGTTTAAATGAAGATGGAGGGGGAAAATGACAATCTCCTATTTCAATTTCTCTTTATCATTAAGGTTTACATGGTTTAGTATATGACAATAAAACTGAATCTGTGAGGACAATTAACATACTTGAAAGAATGAATGTTTACCAGGAGGTGTTTCTCAGCATTCTGTATAGGATTCTTCCAATTCAGGTAGGCATTTATTTATGGCTTTAGATTGTAAGTGTGTTATGAAGACTGCACAGTGAATCATAGCTCCCCTTTTTAGTTATTTTCTAATTAGAAATAAACCTGACACCTTTTTTATTTGTAAAAGCAAAGCCTAATTCACGTTATAAATCCCCCATCAGTGTTTTATGTCAACATCAGTATTCTTGTGTTTTACAGCAATACCTAGAGCCCGTTTATTTTTATATCTACACTTTGTTTGGACTTCAGGCAGTGTATGTCATTGCTCTGTATGTAACAAGCTGGCTTCTTAGTGGAACATGGCTTTCAGGGCTGTTGGCAGCTTGCTGGTATATTACCAACAGGTAAGTGATATTAAACATTCAATCTTTCTAAAATTGTACCTCATTTCAAAGGTAAGGGATTAAACCTTCAAATGCATTATTAATTGGACAAAAAAATGAAACTATAAGGCATCTCTCTTCAGTTGATCTAGAACACAGAAAAAATATTTAAGTAATACAAAGTAATTAGAAAATCCAAAATGAGCTGATATTGGAGACTAGGATTTTAAAGTTTAAGGAAGTTCGAATAGGAAATTTTGGCTTAAATTGGTCTCTGAAAGTGGACTACATCTATAAGATATGTCTAGATCTCCAGATAACGTTCCTTGTCTTCTCCAGCCTGAGTTCCCTTAGATGTTAGAGATCTGCATATGTGCCCTTCAGATCTCTCCTCACTGTCCCACACCCAGCCTACAAGGGTTCTTTCAACAGCCCAAGATGATCAGAAGTTCAGCTTTTCAGTTCCCTTATTCCTGTAGACATCTGCACTCAGAGAAAAAATATTGCTGATTGACCTGTTCTAGTGCTTCATTACTTGAAGAATTCTCAATTTGGAGTAAAAAAACTAAAGAACTGGATTTATGCCAGGAGTGAGCTAAGACTGGTAACATAGGTTGTTATCTGTAAATTAAGAAAATAAAAGGTACAGTGTCCATTCTATCAAAACTGCTTCAGATGTTAATCAGCAGGTGTAAAGAAGTTTATCTGCACACGTGTACATTATAGAATAATTACAGGTATATAATGGTAAAATGGTTCTCTCTAAATACGAAAGTAATTAAAAAATACATTGAATGTGCAGTAGTTCATGTGTTCATTTCTTGAGGCCATCTTTCCCATTTACAGAATATTTGGAACAGATTCGTCCATCTTTCTAATAATTCATGAACAATGGAAGCTCGTTATAAATTATGCAAATAGAATAAGTACACAGAATTGATTTGGATAAAGACTTTCTGTCCAGACGAAGTATATCTGAGACTACTGACACCATTTTGGACATTTTTTCATCCAGCAAAGCATGTCTCAGATGTGTTCTGTACTTTTCGTTTTAGCAAACATTTTATTCACAGAATCAAAAAAGGAATTATTTTTTATTTCTCAGGTGTTGTGACTGCCTTTTAGGGATCTTTTAGTAACTTCAATCACATACTTTTTTATGTTAGAATACTCAAAAAATGACCAGAAGTTCCTATCCAGTTTAGCAATATTCAAATCCAGTGCATTAGGATCACACTGAAGAAAATTATACATATTTATTCCTTTATGTGCTTTTTGCAAACCAAAAAATGAAGTAAAATTGCCTATGGCATGAAAACTCCACATTCTGGATTTTGGAAGGGTTTTGTTTTGGGACTTCTGTGCTCATTTTTTAATTACCTGGGCTGTGCTTTATAAGTAAAATTGAATCCATACTACAAGTTTTTTAACAGTAAGTGAAGCTAAAGTGCATTTGTTGTACAGAAACAGTGGCTGACTTGCAGAGCCTTTGTAATGAAGTTTTTTCAGAGCCAGGCACATTGAAGGAACTAGGGTGTAGAGCCTTCCTTTCTATTACTTATTATTAATAATATTGGTAGTTGTTGTTGTTATTATTATAAATGACCACAAAGATGTCTGTCATTGCAAACTCTGTCACCAAGCTGGTGTTTTATTTGTTTTAAATTTATGAAACTGTTTGTTTTGTACAGAGTAGATACTACAAGAGTAGAATTCACCATTCCCTTAAGAGAGAACTGGGCATTACCTTTCTTTGCTGTTCAGATAGCAGCCATCACTTACCTACTCAGAACTCATTTACAGCCTGTTCAAGAAGTGAGTATTTCTAACAAGTACAACACACTAAAATTACTGTCAAAAAAACTGTAAAACTTAGAAAAAAATTGTAAGCATTTATAGCAGTGGATATATGCACACACAAATCACAATGTTGAAAACACTGATCAGATGAGCCTTCTGTTAATTTTGATGTGGTTGAAATACGAAGAAATATATATACTCAGCACTGAAAAAAAAAATAAAGGTAATCTCTAAAGAGTACAAAACAACAGTGCTGTGTATTTAAGAAAACATGAGAGTAAGGCAAAGGGGACAGGATAAAAGCTTGTAAAGCAAAAGGAATAAATACTTTCAATTGAATTTGTTTTACAAATGTAAGAAGTTTTCCTAATCTGCAAGAATAAAATCAAATTGGTGATACAGTTTGACAAACATTTCTTAATTTATTACTCCTCAATTTGATCAAATAACTGCAGATTATAGCAGAGCAAAACACGGATTGCATGTTAACCTCTGGGCTGAAACTAATTCAGGTAAAATACAGGCATAAATACAAGAACTTGTAACTCCAAAAATGTTCTGTTTTCCTCCAAGCAGCTATTGCAGTTAAAAAACTCATATTAAAGTTTTAGAAATTGATTTTAAATCAAATTAGGGTGTTTTCTGGTTTTGTAGGGGTTGTACTGTTTTTTTGTTCTGGTTTTTCATGAAGGAAACTGTAAAGTTAAAACTTGTTCCCTCCTTCCAGAGATTGACTCTTATGGCTGTATTCATAGCAACGTTTCTCTTTAGCCTGACTTGGCAATTTAATCAGTTTATGATGCTGGTACAGGCATTGGCATTATTCATACTGGACTGCTTTGACATGCTTCCCACAGGAAAGGTAGGACTATGTTTGAAAATAACCTTTTTTTTTCTTTTCTGTCATAAAGTTAACAGTTTTGGAGGTGTTTTACTAACTAGTGGCTTGGATGCCCAAAGTCATACAGATGATACACTCTGCTGGTTTGTGCTTTTAAGTAACCAGTGTATATACTAACTGAATAATCAAATCCACACTATTTTTGATGGGTTTTTTAAGATTATTTTGTTTCACTTTATGCAATTCCCTCCTGTTCTTTAATTTACACTTATTTTTGTTCAGACACAGCCGTGTTTTGACAATATTAAAGGGTTGCTTTTAAACACTAAAATAACAGTTAATTTAATAGCAGAACTTAAACATGTCCTCTGGAAGTGGCCAGAAAAAAAACAAACTAGCACAAGAAATCTTTGCCTAAGCTGAAGTCATAACAGTTTTGCCTCAGTTATTGTGCAGCCTGGTTTGGAAGTCTGGTGTAGGCACTGTACCATAAAGAGAAGGAAGCTAGACAGGATTGCACAAGAGAAACAGATAGATTTCATACATTGAAATTCACTACAAAATAATTTTATTGCTGCCATGTTGCACGATCATTTACAGTCAGTCTTAGGAAATAGAAATACACTTCAAAGATTTAAACATTGTCTTTGTGTCGCTGTGAAATTCTACAGAGATCATTTTAGCCCTTATAAAACTTACACTAGTTGAGAAAGGTTTTAACTTTAAGGAAGGTTACAGTAAGGAAAGTAATTTTACCCTAAGGAAGGTTACAAGAGCAAATTATGTTAATATTATTTAATTTTTGAAGCATCGTTGAATATTGATGTTTTTATTAATTTAACTGAAAATAGTATGGTGGTTGCCTATCAAAGGTGGTTTATTTTGCAGTTTCAAAGTCTTCATTTGTAAGCTGCAAATGTAAACTGAAATGAGCAATTAATGTGACTGATCAGCTACCTTAGCCGTTGGCAAGTAACCAGCTCCATCCTGAGTTACACTAGAATGGATTTACTGATCCACTTTTATTCCATATTCTCTATAAAAACACTTCTTAAAACTGTTGGCATTTTTGGGGCCATTTGATAGTGACTTACACCAATGCTTTAATGCAAGACTGAACTCAGGATCTTTGTGTCAGGTATAATTTGTGTTTTGGTAGCACTGGATCAAAAAAATCAACTGGTGCTTAGTGTGTGCATTCAGCTGAACAGTTGTAGTAGCTTGGCGTAGCTTGAAGAGGATTACATTAAACTATTATTTTAAAAGGTAAGAGAAATCAGCTGATATTGGATTGTTGAACTGCACTGAGCCATAACCTTTTAGTCATAAAGACATTAGTATACAGAAACATTTACTTTACTAAAGAAAATACAAAACATCTTCCAAATATTAATTAATTAATATTTTTCTGACTCTGTGATTGTTTATCTTGCCTACTTTATTGCAGCATAAGTCTTCCTTAGGAATAAAATAGGTATTAACCTAACTACTTCAGGACATAAATATAGAAAGGCTTTAAGTGATCAATTTTTGGTAAAAATAATGTATGTTTAAATAAATTACAAAATATATTCAAAGAAAAGCAGCTGTGACTGTGAAGTTTTGTAGGCATAAAAATCTCCTCATTGTTACAGGTTACGTGGCTCTATATTATTCAGATTTCTGGATTACTGCTAGTCTGTGTCCTACAGTTCTTTAATTCTATGATTCTTGGATCATTACTTATAAGTTTCAATGCTTCTGTCTTGATAGCCAGAACAATCCAGGTAGGTACACAAGTATTTTTGTAGTACTAAATAGAAAGTATGATACATATAGGTAAACAAGTAATTTATATGCATTATAATCTTAAATGACTAATATTAATTAGAGGAATTACTATAACATAAAGTAACAAAAACATTGCATGATCAAATAATTAATTCAATTACACTAACTACAGCATAACCAAACATATCAGACACCAGAATTTTGTGACTGGTATTAACATTTATGATTGTGCAAGCTGCAGTTTGGATCCTGAAAAAAAATTTTATAAGCAGATTTTACACTTGTTTCAGTAGGACTTGTCTGGGATTTAAGGATCTGCCTCTAACAAAGTGAGAACTAGGCACGTGTCAAATCCAGCTTACTTAAATCTAGTTTCTTTGAAAGATGAGGATTTTTCTCTGTATTTACAGTTTTCTGATGCTGGCACTGATGACAGCCTCTAACCAGGATGTATGACCTTACAGGGCCATTCCTCCTGTCTCTCACTTGTGACCTTTTAAAATCAGGGCTGTATTTTTTTGTAGTTAGACAATATCTGCACTTATTTCAAGTTGCCTGTGAGCAGACAGAGAACCACACTCAGATCTGGAAATTTCAAGTGGAAAATTGCTCAAACTCCTATCAGCTGACAGAGCCAGAAGACACCTTTGGCATATTTAACTGGAAGGTTAAATGAATTGATATTTCAAAAGGCACACAATAGTGTTGAAATTAGGGGAATCTTGGAAAACAACCACAGTTGCACTGGGGGCCAGCAGTTGCATGAATAGAATGGGGCCACCTCTGAAGGAACGCTGTTTGTCTAGTTGCAAAACTCTGCCAGATCAATATGCTGGGGAGTTTATTTTCTCTCTTCTTTGTGAAAGAAATACATCTTTATTCTGGATGAATACATCTTTATTCTTGGTTCCATATACATTTTTGCTTTCATGAACCTAATACAAATTTGACTCTGATTAGGCTTAGCAGATAAGCTATTTCAAATAGTCTGTGTTGCTTACATACAAATACATATAAATATACTGAAATATTAACATTTTGTTCCTAGTACATAACAAAAAATACTGAAATACTAATGTTTTGTTCTTTCTAGAAAAATCTAAAAAGGGGCAACTTGCTTAATAGGCTTGGAAAAATTATCCTCCATGTACTGTTAGTCTTGGTCTTGACTCTCCTAGTAAATAAATTCATCAAGGTAAGAAAATAAATTTTAATGCAGAAACTTTCAAAAAGTATTACATTAAAAGCTATTTGTTAACCATCTGCAGTATCATTATTAAATAAAAATGGCAATGAGATTTCACTGCTCTTTAGAGGCTGCATTTTAGAAATGAAAGATTGTTTTGCTACTCTTTTTGGTGTATAGATTTTAAAACATATTCTTAAAATTTCACAAGTTAACACCAAATAACCAAATAGGTATTTGTATCTTTAAGCTCAGCTGTAATTTAATGAGTGTAGATTTATACTGCATTCTGATACTGCTAAGCATTTGTAAAGTTTATAATTGAATTTACTTTTCAATGAATGCAGTTAAAAATTAATACTTGTTGTGAACCATACCATACTTTCACTTGCTTCTTGTGCAGAGATGCCTGCAGACATTAGTGACAGTAACACTTTCTCTGCTTTTGAATTTTAGTCTGTTGAAGAGATCTATATCAACAGATTAAAATTTTGCACAAGTGGAAATTAAAAGTACCACAGTAAGACAAGTCATTGAAGACCAGCTTGTCCTGGATAATCTTCATCTGTAAACAAGGAACTAACCTTAGTAGATATTCTAAAACATAAATAACTTGCCCTTTGGACCACAGAACCGTAATTACAAACTGAATGTCTGATTCCAGAGCACCCTATCTCAGTAAGCCTGTGTTGCCTCACTGTTTCATTTAAATGATGAAAACACTCTTTACTGTATGAAGCTTAATTTTTTTGATACTTAAAATATAATATTCTTTCTTTTTCCCCCTCCGTAGAAAATTCTTAATCTTGAGTCAGATGAACATATATTCAAATTTCTGAAAGCGAAATTTGGATTTGGGGCAACAAGGTATGATTTTACTTTTTTGTATGACTTCATTAAGTGAACTCACTGTAGGTTGTTCTCTCAAAATCTTGGTGATAAATCATGGCTTTATACCTCACGTTTATGTCATATATTTTCCTTCATAATAGTCTGCACAACTGTGGCTTTATAATGTCTTGTAATAAAAGAAACTTTGGTCCTTTTTGACGTGAAGTTGTGAAATAAATGATGACAAAGATTATTCTTTTTCCTTTAGAGATTTTGATGCTAACCTGTACCTTTGTGAAGAAGCTTTTGGTTTACTGCCTTTAAATACTTTTTCAAGACTCTCAGACACATTACTTTTTTACATCTACATCTTTGTTCTCCTTCTAATGGCAGTAGCAGCTGTGGTTGTTGCCTTTCGGAACCTCAGGTAAAATATGTTTTTAAAATAATTCACATTTTTATCTGTTTCCTTAGTAGGACATACACTAAATCAGGCAAAATAATTAACTTGCTATTAAAGCTAAAAATATGAAGGATGTAACAGGACTAAGCAAAGAAACATTCTTCCCTACTTTCCTTCAAGCTGGGTTTTTTTGCTGTTGGTGTTTTGTACTATGCCTAGGTTTGGTTGGGTTTTTTTGGGGGGAGGAAAGGCAGAGAAAGGTTGTCTTTATAGAAAACAATGTTAGTTTCTTTAGTTCATTCCATATTCCCTGTGCAAAGCACTCCCAGTCAAAGGTTTCCTTGGTGATATCCTCAAACTGCCCAGAAATTAGTAAGGATGGTCTGTGCTGAACTTCCTGTGATCTGTGTGAAGAAGCTGGGCTGGTAGACTGCAACTGGGCATCACTGCCACCAGTTCCTATAGCTAAACTGTAGGATTTGAAAATATTTACAGAACACTAGAAGAAAGTTAGTACTGAACTGCTATTTCATAAAGCAAAAGTAAATGATTCATTATAGATGTGTCAGTTTCACATTTGCAACCTGGGCAAAAGTGAGAAGGGATGATATGAAACTCAATTAATTAAAAATTCAAGGATTGTAACATAACTAATGCCACTCATCATAGATTTTATGGAAAGCAGGATAAAAATGGGAGAGAGAAGGGGAGAGGGAGAGGATCTAAGACATTCTGAAACTGTATTATGGTAATTCTGAAGTCCTAGTCATCTGCAAGTCTTTTTGGTACTACTCAACCAGCCTCTTCAAAACTTACTGCATCAATCAATTTTAAGAACAAACAAAAGTCTCTGCAGATCTTATTTTCTGTAATCCTAAATGAGCTCCCAAAAATCACCATAACTTTTAACACTGTCCAGTTATCTCAATCATCTCCCCACCAGGAAAAAAAAAAAAAAAAAAAAGCAACAGGGAAAACCCCCACAAATTTAAGCAGTAGTTTGTTGGTTTTTTTATGAGTCCTCTATATGCATTCACAAGACTAGCCACACCAAGCAATAACTAGGCATGTCAGAACTTTTCTGTAAATTTACTCCCAATCTATGGCTGTAGTAGCATCCAGACACACCAGTGCACCCCCCAAACACAGTTAAGTTCTTCACTCTCATCAATAGGCCTATGAGTGAGTGGGAGGAACTGCTTCAAACAATAAACCAAGAATGTTTTCCTGTAAACGATTTTATCCCACTAACCAGCACTTTGAACCCATTGCATTTACTGAAAACTAGTTGTGAAAGTAAGCATTGATTCTGCATCAAGTTGGTGCTTTTAGGTTAAATTATATCATAGATACAAGAGAATATTGTGAACTGGTATCAGTACTATTGCTCTTTAATATCAGAAGATTTTTATAATACAACTGTACAAAATATGATAAGGAACTTCATGTAACACTTCTGTATTTCTTCTGTTAAATTAGTGGTTCAAATGAAGTCCAGTTCGTGGAAGCAGTGGAAGAATGCACAATAACACTGAAACCTGATGCTGCTTACAACTTAATTCACACCATTCTCTTTGGATGTCTGGCATTAAGCACAATGAGGTTGTTGGTTTTTTTTAATTCTACTAAAGACTTTTTTAGACTATGAAGTACATTTTTGTAAGAGCATAAAATAATGCTGACCACAAAATTATAGGATCATTCATGTTCTTTCTCTTCCTCGTGTGTTTCTGCTTGTACACTTGAGGCATCTCCCAATATTCTGCCAAAAAAAAAAAAAAAAGATTGGAAGAGCAGAGATGTTCTCAAGAGCACATAGCAGACCACAAAGTGAATCTTCTACTTGGTTATTTCTGTCCCAAAAGTCCAAGAAAACTGTTCAGATTTTCTCTAAATAACTGCTCTCATCAACACAGCTCAGCTGAGCTCCAGATGATTAGCAAAATTTGTTTGTATTCTTACAGAATGAAGTACCTCTGGACATCCCACATGTGTGTATTTGCATCTTTTGGCTTGTGCAGTGCAGAACTATGGAAACTTATCCTGAAGTGTGTTCATCTCTACACATCACGGCGGGTTAGCACTATACTTATGGCATTTCATGACATTTGGGTTTGCTCCATATCTGAACCAAATCAAGACTCAGAATTATAAAAATCTGAAATGATTACTCTTGGTAGTCCTTTTAAACTGGATATCTCTGAAGTACAATTGTGTAAATTTAGTAAGTAAAATTTCTTTTTAGTGGTTCATATATTAAACAATTCCATTTGAATACACTAGATGGCAATATAGATGTGGCTATGAAAAGTAACTGCAAGTTTAGTAGAAAAGTTTTAGTCAACATATTAAGAAGTCAGCAGTGGTCTGAAAAGACCTTTACAGTCTATCATACTGAGTGACACAGTATTTTTCACTCTTTTATGAGATAGATTCAGATACATAGATTTAAATCCATCATTTTATGATTAGTCTGTAATAAGGATTTTACTTGGAAACAAAATCAGAATATGGTCATATAAATTCAAACTGTGTCAGATTTCAATACATTAAACATTAAGTCAATCCAAATAAATGTATGATCAGAATAACCGATTTATTTTTTTTATTTCTCTTAGACATATGTGATTAAGTATTCTCTACCAATAATTACATTGCTATACATTTCATACAAGGTAAGAAAAGTTTTTTTCTCAATGTATTGGCAGTGGCATTTTCCTTGTCGTATAAGGGGATTTTTTTATATAGAGATATATAAATAATTGCATATAAAATTTGTAGCTGAGTTTTTAAAATTGTGATAGACTACCTCAAGTGCATATGAAATTGTATCTGAAGGATCAGTTGGGCTGGTTGGATCCAAAGTAGTCATAGATACAAATAGTTGTTTGATTGTATGTGTAAGTTACCAGTTGTGATTTACATGCATAATTTATGGAAATGGAAATGGTCTGGTTTGGTTTTAACTAAGTTGTAGATAAGATGCAGGTTTATAAATTGTTTGATAATTAATCGTAGGAGCAGAAATAATATTAATGTTCTATACTTCTGTGCCTTATCTCATGTGTTGTCAAGTACAGAATTGTTAAACTAGTCAAGTATTTCTGTTATCTTCAGTCTGTCCCAGAAACAAATTATTACTATGGTCAAATATTTAAATGTAAATACCTAAAACAAATTTAAAATAATAACATGTACAAGATTATTAGTCAGTCTGTCAAAGCAGGGGGATTTAGAAGATTAATTGAATGGGCATACTATTCTTTTAATCTGTATTTACAAAGACAAAAAATTCAGATGCAACTTTAATGGAGAAGTTACTTCTGCAATACCTAGTGTAAAAAAGAGAATATTTCTATTAAAGAATGACCTTCAGAGAGACTCAAGGTGAATTTCATTATTAAAGTTAAAAAGGCCATAGTAAAGCATATTAGTTAGGAATGCTGCTAATAGAGTTCACTCCGGGAGTCTGTTCCCCCCTTTAAAACAGTCAAACAAAAAGACAAAAAGGCCATAACAGTTTGTGTAGTAGAGTTACACTGATGTGTTCCACTTGAATTTTCTTATTATTCTGCTAGGGGACTGCCTAGATATTTTTTTTTCCATTGGTATGCTGGTTAGGGAATTAATTTACCATTTTCATCATCTCTGAAAACGACAGAAATTATACCATTTCTTTTAACAAGCATGATACCAAGAGCATGACATTTTAATAAATAGACTAATGTGACAGATCAACTAGGAATAATTTTCCTCCCACTCTTCATGAGCAGATCTGAGGTTCCTAAATCCTGTCGGATTCAATTCTGAAGTCAAAAGAAGTCAGTGATTTTCACAGTCACTACTTGTATCGTTTTTGTATTTCTTCTAAATATAGGCAATATTTTTTACTGACATTAAAAATGATTTTTTTTTTTAAGTGCTCAGTGGAAGCAAAGAAATACATCAGCTCTTAGTATTTCTTGGTCTAAAGTCAGTTTTTGCAGTTCAGCTGCCAGAGGATATCTTTGGTGTGTGTTTTTTCTGCAAAGCTGTAATAATTGGTGACCCTTCAGAAGAGGAGCCCATCTGACAGACAGGTCAAACTTGTCACCAGATTCCCTGGCAATAGTCAAAGTAAAAATTCTTAGAGAGATCCACTGCTTCTGTAAGAATGTGTTTACATATTCTCTCTCTACAGCCCTTAGAAACAAATCAACAGTGCAAGTAGATTTTGATAGCAGAGACTTACTTATCTTTCTCCTTTCCAGATAAGAATTTGTGTTCATGCACTGACTGCTCAGATTGCATGAGCACCTTACATGTTCACCACAAAGTTAACTGGTCATCATGGCTGGTTTTCTTGAACTAGTAGCAGGACAGTATTTTATTTTGCTACCTGTTATGGTTATGTTTGTCAGAAGAAGTATTCTTCAATGCCATTCCTCAAAATAGGAGTTTTATGGGATTATTAGCCTAATCCTGAATAAGCTAATGAAAGCCTCTTTTGAGGCATGTGGTTACTACAGTCCCAAATATATCACTTGAACAATAATTTCTTGAGATTCAGATGCAACTACAATGCCAGCTACCTTTCAGATTTCAGGTACAGTATGTTTTGAGACCTACAAGACATTAGTATTTCTATTTACACAAGTTTTCTTCATGATAATTGTGCAAACATCTTTTAGATAAAGCAGAAGTGTTGTAGTATTTCTGTGCATACTTGAGCTCTGGTGCAGATAACAAAACATATATATAATGCAGTACTAAATATTATTTCTCTTTCACCTCACAGTCTTTATAGGTAGATTTCATCTGTGTCTGTGTCTTGCATTTAACTTCTCTACAGAATAAGATCCTTCAATTTGTGTTTGTATGTCAGTCATTCCTAAATAAATTATCAATACTTGAGATCAGTGCCTAAGCTTCAGCAAGTCTATAGTTAGCTCTTTTGCCAAATAATCATGATTTTTCTTCATTTTGAAGAGGTCTCATTATTTAGAAGAGTTTGTTACATCCCTGATACGCTTTTTATATTCTTTTTATCGATTCCTTGAGTCACAGTACTCTTTTTCTCAACCTGACATATACTTGATTTATGAGGCAAAGTTGTCATATCAATCTTACTGGTCCATATTTTATCATACTTCACTTTGTCATGGTTATTCTGTTGTATTTGGAACTCCTGAAGTTCCTCAGTTTTCTCCTGTTTTGAATAATTCAATGTTACCTTACAATTTTTACATCAGCCTTCTCTTTTTACATTCAGTAATAGCAAGCCCCACTACCAGAATTTTCCTCCAGTGAAAACTGCTTGTACTCAATCAGCAGTTGCAGTAGCAGGATATTGAAACTTGAAAACACTATAATGATCAGTTAGTGACATACTGTAGTCCCAGTATTCAGTGGTAGCAGTCATGGCATTCTTGGTTGCAGGGCAGGTTTGCAGCATGATCTAGAAGCAAAGCAGAGCCCATTTCCTTCTGTATCCACCCTAAAGGACTACAAGCTTTCAAAATGTTTAGCTATCCTGGGTCATTTAGTAATGAAGAAGGTAATTTTGATTCATTATGAGACTCTACAGTCTCATTTCACAGCTACTTACTGATCTCTCAAGAGATCTTCTGAGGAGTAGAAATATGTCTCTTAAACTACTACAGTACTTTCAAAAAATGTAAGGTTATGATACTGCCATAACAATCTTTTGGATGTTTCTCAATCTATCAGCCAGTGTTACTTTTAACAAATGTGTCAAGTAAAGTGGTAGGTATCTTGATTGGCCTAATTACATCACCTGCTCTCCAGTCCTACATAATTACAGTTTTAGTAAAAGAATGCTGGTTTTTGCTTAGAAGCTCACCAGCATCACATTCAAATTCCTTCTGAACTCTTGGAAGAACATTATCTAAATTAGGTGATTTATGGCTTTTTAGGTTTTCAGGCAGGTTTTCTTACACTTTTTCCTGTGACATTTCACTTTACAAGCTAGCAAGCCTCATTATCTAAAGAAAGCAGCTTTGGAATAGGTTTCACCATAACACCCTCTGTAGTAAAGACTGATGCAAAACAATCAGTTAGTCATTAGCATTGTCATTTTTCTCTCTTAATTGCTCCCTTTTGCCCTTGAATTTTCACTAGCTTAAACAAGGAGAAACCCTTAAATAAATCTTTTTTCTGTTAGCTTTTTTGGGGGGATGGGGATGGTTAAGCTTTTCAGAATCAATTTCAATCCTTATTTCTCTGATCCAAATTTATGTATTTTTTTGTCTTCAGTACATTTGGAAACGTTTTCCCCCAATAGTCTGTTGGACGTTGCTGTTTAGTCACACTTTTCTTTTTTCCTTCAGTGGTTCTCTTTTTATACAAAGTTCTGAAATGCCATTGATGGCATCCATAGCACATCTAATAATTTTAACTTCTGATGCATATCTCCTTCTTTTTTTTATTTGCTTGTAAGTTTCCTTTACAGACTTAGTGTTACTTCCTGGAGCCTTCCCTTCTCCTGTAATAATAGATGTTACTTAATGGCTTGACTGTTACATATCGAATTGTTACATGATGCCACTTTATCGTGTTCCTTTTCAAGAAGTTTAGTCTGTCAAGAAATAACTTTAAAAATTAGCATTGATCCTCTAGTCCAGGGAACTGAAATGGTTGGGTTCTAAGGTAGATACAATGCACAGCAGTCATATCTCAAACTCTAAAACCGTGTACTCGTATTGCAATGACAGCCACATGTCCTTTTCAAGGGTAGATATGCTTAAGTCTTGAAACTTACCCATGAACTGGACAAGATCAGTTACCAGCTAAGAGGAAGTAATAAGTTTCAACATCCAGAACTTGTTTTATTCATTCTGTCTTCAGTTTGTTTTATTTTGTTTTCATTATAGTTCTGGCCAGGAATAATGGATGAATTATCAGAGCTGAGAGAATTCTATGACCCAGACACTGTGGAGCTGATGAACTGGATTAAGTAAGAGGATTTTCTTATCTATTGAAGTTAAAAGCTATTTGTGTAGATCTAATGTTCTTAGTTACAGTGTTCTTATTAGTCACAGCTCATCAGTGAACTCTGGTGACCCATGGAGAAGTTAAGGATGAATGGGCTAGCAAGAGGTTAGCATATTACGGGCTGTGGAGAAGAGCTGTATGCAAAGTTCCCCAAACTGTTCTGACTCAGTGTCATGCTGCTGTATTGCCTGTGTGTCAGGAAGTCATTTGACTCCATTTGCTTTCATAGGTACTACACAGTTTTCCCAGCTGAAGGAGGTACATGTGGAGGTGTCAGGTTTCTTCCATCATATTATAGCTACCTCTTCATATTAAGAGATCTTTGCAGTGAAGTAATTTGTGTTCTACACTGTAAACAAAATATTTGCAGTTGAACTTGAACTTGCCACAATGAAGCACTTCTCTTTCTCATATAAAGCATGGGAAAGCAGTTTTTAGGTGGAGACAGTTTGGAATACTTAATGTAAAAGATGCTGAGAAAAAGACAGGTAGAATGTTCCCTGGGGGACTATGAATTGTAGACATATGTTCTCTATTAACATACAGTAATCACAAAAAACTTTCAGGTTAAGGTCTGAACAGAGATACTCCTGGGACTTCTATTTATTTGCAACTCTGACAAAGTTTTTTTTAAAAAATCAGTTTCATGTTCTGGAGGAAAACATTCTGAAAGTAAATATAAATTTAGTATATTTAACATTGAACTATTTGAAGTATTTCCTTGGAGTCCTGTATTGTGTTTTCATAGCCCAGCCTATTCTACCCAAAGCAGCATACTTACACTCTATAGTGTTGTGTTTCTTTAATCCATAAACAGAAAGGAGTAATTTATAAGTAAAATATATTATAAGCCTTCACTGACTTACTTGCAAAGTCGAGTGTGGTTTTTTCCATTATTTAGAATCTTTGCAGCCATATTGACATGTTTTTGTGACTAATGTTTACCAGGCAGTTCCATTTAGCACTACTATTTTAATAAAAGATGGTAAATATCTGATAGTTCAGGTCTCCTGAGTACAATATATAGAGTTATATATAGACTTGTACATAAAATATGCATGTGCAGTTATTCCCAGCAATCAGCTGGGTTTGACAGGATCCAATGAGAACAATTTTTCATCTGTTCTTCATGCTGAGGAGGCTAAACTGGTGCTTGTCCTCTTTTCATTTTAAGTCATGACAGACAATTATAGAGAGAATTTTTCTACTTAGAATTTATTGTGTTTAGAAGTCTTATTCCTGTAAAGAAGAGTTAATAATCTATGCTTTAAATACAAGTCAACAGAATTTATGGTAAGTTTTTCAAAGTGGAACAAATTTTCTTAAGTTTTGATGTCTAAAAAAAATTTTACTGTACTAACACTTGATAGTTCTGCTGTAGTTAATGTCAAGGCTGGTGTCAGGAGCTAATTATTCATTATTAAAACTCAGTATGAGAAGCTCTAGTTTGTCATGTATAGCAGTGAATTAGGAATAACTCATCTGCCTTGCAGTCTCTCCACAACAAGAAAATCTTTCTGTTTGCTTAGGTCTAAATGCATAATAACTTGTCCAAATACACAATCCGAATAATAGCCAACTATTAGTCTGTCCACTGACTGAAGTGTCTTGCAGACATTTTTTTACTCTTCCCCTTACTAAAATTACCATTGCATTTTCATGAAGATATACTGGTTTCTATCTTTAAAATAAAGTTACTGCATAATATTGGATTGCATCTATTGCAGGCTACAATTTTTAACATAATAATTTTACATATCCCAGTCTCTTGCTTCTTCCTACCCACTTCCTCATTTTCTTAGATTTTATTTTAAAAAAGCCAAGAAGGTCCTGCCAGTGACCCAGGGATAGTTCACAGCTGTATTCCCAGATGAGAGGTATATTAAAATTCTTAGTTTTGGTCTTTCTCCCTAAGACAACAGGAACAACATGCTCATTTGTGAGATGGGGAAGAATATCAGTAGAATGAGCAAATCAATAGCGTGAACTTCCCTACTCTGTTTACTTCTGGTAAGTGTCTAAGAAGCAATGTCTTCTGCCTTTAAAGGGGAAACCTGTCTAGAATTGTGGAATATTTCATAAGCAGTTACCAAAAATCACAGAAAAATGTCATAGAAATCTTGGACTACAGCCAAAACAGTAGAAAAGCTAATGGAGACTGAGATTTGGCAGAGCAAAATTGTACATCAACTGTATTTTAATCAGGTGTGGGGGACAAGCAGGCCAATTTTTATATTAGTGAAAACCCCACAAATTTCCAAAAAGCTCCTAAGGTTACAAAAATGGAATACCCATGTTTCAGTGGTGGCTCTTTATTTATTTATATCAGTGGCTATGTTTTAATTCAAGCCAGCTGTAAATTTTAACTGTTCGCTCTTACATGCCTGATTTTCAAGATAATCACACTGAGGTCAATGCATGTTCCAGACTTTAAAGGCAATATTACACTTTTTTTAAATTTAATTTATTGTTCTGAAATTTTTGGGATTAACTTTTGTCATTGACTGATTGGTCAGTAAAATTCAGGCATGAACTTGACAGTGCCTGACATGCAGGTTTATACCAGCTGTGCAGGTGCACTCCTTTGTGTGAACAAAACATGCATGCATAAAATTGAGGCCAAAACTAACAAAAATGCATCTTGTTGCTCTTTCTTTGTGGCTGTTGTTTTCCATTTTTGCAATATTCAGTCTTTCCAAACCAGAGGGAAAAAAAAGAACCAGTTTGACTGAATTTGCTTTACTGCCTATCATTTGCAGCTAAATCTGTAATATTTTAGTACAGCATTCTGCAAATATAAAGACTTTCCTACAAAGAAAAAAAAAATCTGACATGCTATGTTTGAGAACCCCTTTTCAGAATCTCCTTTTCTCAGACCCATTTGCTTTGTATATTCATATCACACCCAGGCACTAGTAAGGAATAATCTGATATTTCTCAGACTTTATGGCTTTGAAAGCCATCAGCAGAGTACAACTCTGGAGGACTTAAACAGAAATCACCATTTTCTTTCTAATGATGTAACTTGTAATTGCAACATTGGCCATTTCTGTAGGGCTTCCTTAAAACCAACTCACCATAATTATTTAGCAGCTTAAGAAAAATAATTACTACCACTTTCAGAGCCTGTAGAAGTAGTTCCTATAAAACCCTTTTGTTTTAAATGAGTAATTCTTCAGTATTTATAGAAATAGAAAAGCTTCATATGATATATTATAGGACTTAGCTCCCCCATTAGTTCAGCTGTAATTAACTTGTTGAAAGCTTAGAGCTTCAAAAATAAATGAGATTATTTGTTCAAAATGCCATCAGGTCTTCTTGGAATGACATTTAAATTATATAATGTAAATCAGTTTGACCTGTAAGTCCTTGTCATTATTTAGTGACATTTCGTGCAGAATAAATTGTTTGCAGGTTGGGCAGTGTGGTATGGAGCTTGGCAGAAAGCTATAAAAAACAAATTATCCTTTCATTTTATACATCATTTGTTCAGACATTTGTAAAAATTGCTTCGTTTTTCTATAATGGAGAAGTGTCATTCAGTGGTTTGAAGCACATTAGCTGCCTCGGATACCAACTGCAGCAGTTAGTGTCTGACTCGGGTGGGAGTGTTGGAGAAAGACACTTGCATGAAACACAGAAATCATCCTGTACACAAAAAATATTAGTTCATTGTCACATCTCCCTCTGGTGCCTGTTGTAGAAGGTAAACACTCAGCAACAGCCAGAAGCTGAAGTTAAGGTGTAGTTAAGGAGGGCAGACAGTGCATGAAGCTCAGCACCACCTCCCAGCTTCCAAGTGTGTCTGTCCACAGCAGGGAGGAGCAGTGCCATGTTTGTGTTCTTGGAACATGGGAACAGAGTGCCTCCAGCAGCTCTGGGAGGACACATCTTAGTCTGGGAACCGTCATAGCAAGCCCCAGGAAAATATGGATAGTAGTGTGTCTTAAGGTATGTAATTTTCTAGGACTTCAAACATGTAGATCTGAGTATCAATGAAACATCTGCCATCTGCTCAAAAACACGGGGTTTTGAGCTCTGTCAGGAGCAGGGCATGTGAGCAGTGTTTGAAAGCAAACTGTCATGAGTCCTTCTAAGGTACAGGATGAGGAGGAAGTGCTTGGCAAAACTCTTAATACCTGATAAATAAAGAAAGCACTCAGCTCTATTTCACCCCTTCTGGGCAACAGTGAATGGGTTTTGAAAGGGGAGGAATTGAACTTGGCATCTGCTAGGTTTTTGATGAGCATTTTTACCAGGCAGTTATAGAAAAAGGGCACTATCATCATTTACTGTAGCTTTCTTTTGTAAGAAAAGAGGCTGCAGGCCATTTCTTGGTTTTGCCCTTGATACTTGAGGGGTTTTTTTTAAGGAAGATGGATTCTGCAAGTTTGCATTCTGTTGGGCTCTTAGGCCAGGGCACGGGATGGGTACTGCAGGGGTTACAAAATTTGAACTCGCTTGGAACAAACACAAAAGCAGACTTTTCACACCAGAATTTTCCCAGCCCAGGCATAAACACAGAATCATGTTGAAGGTGCTTTGAGCATCAAAATTTTCATTTAGGTGTCTTAAGTTCTACCAAGTCCCTCTGTAAATCTGGTGGATCTTTTTGGATTAGACTAAAGAATTGTGCTTTCCTGCAGATTCAGGGATGAGTCCTACTTGACAGCTTGTCAAGGCCATTAAATTTGCAAAATATTAAATTCTAAGATTGATTTATTTTAATGAAACGTGCTTCATGACACTTGTGGCTTTGAATATTTTAAGTAAAAAAAGTAAATTTTAAAAAGAGATTAAGTGTTTTCAGACTTTAAAATGAAACTAAGTTTATAAACTGTTGAAAAACTAGTCTATCAGTAAAGTTAAACTATCTTATTAAACTTACTATCTCTGTCTTTCCTAGATGAGGTTAATGCACCATTGCAAAAAATTCTAGGAAGAGTTTGTAATTCTTAATTCATTTGCTGAGCATAATCTCCTTAAAGGCAATAGTCAAATTTAATACTTTTTTCAAGCCGATCATGGAGCTTAAAGACTGAATTCACAACTGCAGCTTCAAAAAGCTCCATAAAGTGCACACCAAAGTGTCGCAGGTACTTGACTACTGCAAATGCCATATGTGCCTGTGTGGGGATGACAGGCAACTATTCATATTCCTTTCTAATTTCATTTTATTTTAATGTGTGCTTCTTTCTGTTGTTTTAGTCTTCATAGAACTTTTCACAGTTATATACCTACTAAGCACTAGAAAACATGTAAGCTTGCTAGTATCTTTAATTAGCCTAACTACAGCAGCCTGGCATTTTTACTTTATCTTTTTGCTGTGCCTTTCTGTTGTGTCTTTACATATATTTTAGATTGTGAACTTGGGGGTGAAGGTGAGCCAAACATCATTTTTTCATTATGGGTATTTAAACAACCTATTGAGTAGGTGGTTACAGTTCCAGGCACTGGCTTGGGATTTCAGATGGGATCACAGTACCAGTATTGACAGCATTCCTATCTGGCATCTTCTGCATCCACCCTGCCCTCCTGCCATTCTGCTCTTTGCAACTGGGATGACTTTTTTCCATTACTTCCATCCCACAGTTGTCAGAATAGGAGGATTCATGTCTCATATTATAAAAGCTCACTTTCCAAGAGAATGGGGAATACCAGGACAATCAAAAGAAGTTTTAACATTCAGTTTAAATAATCAGATTTATATAGAATACCTTAGATACAATTAAGTCACAATAAATTTCTTGAAATATTAAAATAATTAGGATATGGGGATTTACAAATATTCAGAGGCTACGTGAACCCAAGAACTATATGAAATACGCAAATAGTTTGAAATTTTCAGGGTGTTTTCCCTAAATTCCTCATACAGCATAGCAAGTTTTTTTATTTTCAGTTAGAGAGTATTATTGTGATTTATCTACTTCATATTTGAAGAAAGCACAGTTGCTTGAGCAGTTTCCTCCCTGAATAGAGGAGGGTCAGAAAAATATTTTTTCAGTCTTTTTTTTCCTTCTGATCTGTAACAAGCAATGCAAAAAATGCCCCTGTAGAGACTTCCTCAGACTTATCAACATTTTTAGGTCAAACACTCCAAACACAGCAGTGTTTGCTGGGAGCATGCAGCTATTAGCAGGAGTCAAACTGTGCACTGGACGGACCTTAACTAATCATCCCCATTATGAGGATAAGAATCTGAGAGAGAGAACAAAACAGGTAAGAATATTCTGATTGTTTAAGCCAGTTCTTACTCATATCAGTGGCTCCATCCCAGAGCACACATGCTGTCTCTGAGGGCACATTGCACATCAGATCATGTGCTCTACTCCTTGAACTAAATTTCATTCAGATACAGCTCCAGAATTTCACTTCTGTGAAACTCATGATACTTTGAGCACCTGCTAACTCAGTGTTGGCAGCTGGTGCATGTCTGAATAGCTGCACCTCAGTGTTTGAGCTAGTGCTGAGTGAGTGCTTTGGGTGCCAGTGGCATCAATAGATCCTGCTGCCCAGCTGGGCTGTTGAACACACATGGAGAAGCTCCTGACTTGCCTGATATGCTCTTAAGTTCCCAGACTAGCACATAACATCCTATATAGAAACCACCTTGAAAAACTCCACACACAGCTGGAGATATTGTTTTAAACTATCCTTTTCTATAATTTAGGTATTGTGAAAGCTTTATAGGCATCTACCAAGGCCTTTCAGCAGACAGCAGCACCATCCAGTGTTTCTGTAGTCACCGGCAGTACTGTTGTGCATCACAGTAGCCATAACATAGAAACTCTTTAAGTGGCTTCTGAATGAAACATTTGTTTATTTATTTTTAAATATTCAATGCAAATCCACATGGATTATCCATCTCAGTTCTTTCTCTGGTTCAAGATAAAGGAATTGTGAAAAAGCAAATGAAGAAATACAGGTAAAGTGCCTCACAGCTTAGTTTTCATCTTCCACAGATTTATCAGATCTATGCCAAGAGGTCTCCTGAAGATGTGCACAGGATCCTGCTCTCCTTTGGCACAGACTACGTGATCCTGGAAGACAGTATCTGCTACGAGCGAAGGCACAGCAGAGGCTGCCGGTTACGAGACCTGCTCGATGTAGCCAATGGCCACGTAAGTAGCACATATAAGATTTTTAAAGAAAATACATTTTTCTTCTCTTTGAAATACTATTCTGATTGGAAGTAGCTTGGGGTATTTTTACTTCATCATGAGTGTGGGAGGTAAACTGTAACATAGCCTTTAGACATTCTCACTACTTGCTTTTAATGGTACCCAATAATAAAGAAGGAACTCAGCCTGAACAAAATAAGTAATCACTTCCTGATGAGGTTCAGCTTAGCAGTACACAAAGTCACAAAGTGTTCCCTTTCAGAGTGTGAATCACTTCATAGCTGCAGTTCCCCCAGGACTAGTGGATGGCTGTATTACTCCATTGTGTGAGGGGAGTTTTCCAGTGTTTCTGGAGCTCACACACAAGTACAGCAGGCTGCACAGCCTCAGCAAGGCGTGCAAGTTATTTATCCATAATACAGACAATGACACTATAAACCTTACTGTTTTAACCTCCCACTTGTCTCATGCAGTCACTGTTAACAGATCTGGCCAGCCTGACCCATGGAATGCATTGTCAAGGTTGCTTTTTAGTTATTACTGCCTGTAACTGAACTGGCTAAAGATATTTCACAAATGTGTTCAATTTCCTTACAGATCATGGATGGTTTGGGAGAAAACGAACCTGATTTGAAACCTTCGTTGTTTCCTCGCTTCTGTGAGGAAATTAAAAAAAACCTGCCTTCTTACACCATACACTTCACTAGAGTGTTTCAAAACAAAACATTCCATGTTTACAAACTTGCTAAGCATAAATAATGTTTCCAACCATGGCATCATGATTAAGTATTTTAATGCTAGGACACACATTAGGAAAGGCAGCAGAAGTTAACAAATACATCACCTTTGTAAGGCATTTTACATGGATGGTTTCCTGTTTAATTACTGTGATACTTATTTTTTTAGACAGGTTAGTTTTGATAACGTTCTTGATGTTGCCCAGAGTTTTCATAGATTCATAAATAAATGCTAGCAGGGACCATTTTGATGATAAGGTGTGACCTTCAGAATACCTAGGATATAATTGTTTCCCAGGTAAAACTGACTGGAAGACACACAACACAAGCAGCCTGCGTGACCACTGCAGAGTAGCTGGCCCAGGGTGTTCTGCTCAGCAGCTGGGGTTTTTACTACAAAATGATAGAAATTCAATGAAAGCAGGCAATGCTGTTGCTATCCAAGTATGCATTACCTTCATGAATCCTGAAAATAGTCACAAAATTACAGTCTGATCCTCTTAGGCAGATCCCTGTGCTCTTTCAGTGCCTCTTTTCTGAATTCTTTGGGAATGCGTGTGGTTGTGCGTTTCCAAGCTTGAGTGTGAGTGCAGAAGCAGCAAAAAGTAGATTGAAGAGTAAAACTTTAATCATTGTCCAGCATTTTTAGTGATACAGAAACATAGTGGTTTATAGCATTAAGCATTTGATGATGGAGTGTTCTGTATTTCTAATGAGAACAAAGGTCGGAGCATGCTTAGTACATGTTGCATGTTTGTATCCTCGTAAAATGCTCAGAACAAACAAAATCAAAATTTCTCAGCTTGGATTCTCATAACACTAGTGTCTGTATTTGCTTTCTGAACTACAGGGGATCCTTTTTCTCCCCATGGGAATTCCAGTAGGATACTAAAACTGAACACTACCAACCTTGCAAAAGAAAACATTCTCTCTGAAATCAGCAG